CTTAGCAGCCAAATGACATAAAGAACGCCGTCATAACGGATACTATGGACATTTAATTGTGAATTGAGCAGAGGAGGTGAAGAGCGGAGTAAGAGGAATATTGAAAGGAGAGGTGCGAGGTTACCAATAGCCAATTAAAAAAATTTCAGTTCGGAAATTCGAGTAAAGTCCCGAGAGGAAATCCAGTAGGCAAAAAACCAGAGGTGTGCTGCCTTTAACCAATATACGCTCTTGAGACTTGCCTCCAGGCAGTTAGCAAAGTAGCAGACAAATTGGCCGAAAATTTCCATTATTTCGGTGAGAATGGAGCGTTTCAAGTGAAGCATAGTATTTGATTGTTGATAATTACTACGTAAGTAGGTAGCTGTTCAGAGGAGTAATATATATGCAAATCACAGGAAATGTACGCTTGAGTTGAAATTACTCTTCAATGCAAGCCTCAGAAGCACTTAAATGGAGGGATGTTTGCCTAATGTTGAAGTGGGAATAATTAGTCATATATCTCAGAACGGTTCGCCTGCTTGTATGTCTGTGCGTACAAAAATGACTGACTGCTTTTAAATGAAAGAATGATCACGTTGCTGTCTTTCGACTCTTATCAGTTTGCCTAGCACATGTCGCGTTTGATACCATCGCCACTTGGTTGCTTCATCCTTTGATTGTAACCACAAGGTGGTTCGATTAATTTTGCTGTCTTACACGACAGCTTTGGGTAGTGCAAACAAATCAATATTGCATCAGCTTTCCTCTGAAACTAGGAGTGAGACAGGTGCGGTCTTGTTTCTTCAGGATAATTGCACGAATCTAGCCGATCAAATCTCCACCGAATACGACAAATACAGTTGTTCTATAAAGAACTAGCTTTCCTCGCTTCTGGTCTTTGTATGCGGGCGGTATGTGCCTTGTTTGAGATCGGTCTGTTGACCTTGCGATGGATACTATCCGGGAAAACAGATGCATGGATGCAGACCGAACGGATGATATTTTGGTCAATTCTGAGAGGGATTGGATAAACTATGCCCGAAAAAGGAGTTAATGGTCTGAAATGAGAGTGCTCTCTTTTCAATGGAAAGTTGGAGATGGCGACTAAAAGTGGTAACTTCTGAGGGCTTGTAAACTCAGAGAGGGGAGCAACTGGATACATACTTGGTCTTTGCATGACACGCATAGGCGATAATTCGTGTGCGGAGCCATGGTTCTTACAATCGGATTCTGGATTGATTTGAAAGTTATAGCGAATGACAGTGATGTCGAGGAAAGTTTTGTTGGTATGACAATGCAACAAGATTTCAAACTAGCACGTGCGGATATGACTGTTTGACTGTTTTAGTTCGCAGTAATTCATGGTCCCAGCTGAGTGTTCTCACCGTGCTAGGTAGTTTTGCTGTCGCATATGCGTGACTAAAACGAATGTAAATGCTCAGTAACATTTGGAATTGGGAAAGACTTTAAATATCTATTATGGATGGATTATTAAAAAGCAAATCCTCTAGTGGTAGCATTAATAAAAATTTTGGTCAACATTTGGGTTCAAGTGAATGGACATCAAGATGTCCAAAATTGTAACTCTGATCAGAGCTGCTGTATCAGTTTTAGGGGTGAATTGGAATTGCTGCAGCATTCGTTGGTTGTAAAAGATCTCCACCTCATGAAGTTGTTTTCAGGGGACAGAGCATCATAAGCTATTCGTGACTTGTTCATCAATCGTTAATAGGTCTGCAATTTACTTCTGTTATCCGCCTTCCACAGACCGAACCCTTCAAAATATGAAATGAGGTGCTTTTGAGGTGACTATTTGGGCAATGAGTGCACACGGTAGTTGGCGGGTAGCCTTACATCGGTATGGAATGAACGTGTTTTGTCTATGAGCACGGATGTATCGTCGCTGCCTCTTGCATAGGAAATCAACAGTTTTGGGAAAAACAAACTCATTGTTTCTGGAACATTTCTACCCGAGTAAGGGGATGGTGTTGCATCACTAAAAGACAATCTTCACAACATGAATCTTCTCATGTAAGTGGAACAGTGTGTTTCAACGGCAAGAATGTAGACAGCAAATTCAAACGTTATGTCAAATTAAAGAAACTGAATACTAATGGAAAAAGCATGTTGTGAACAGAAAACTTTCATCCAGCTTAAAACTTCCCTGTGAGGGAATACTGTTAGGTTTTTTGCCAGCTGTGACACATGTATTGTGATTCGGTTGTCGTCATGAACGAAGAATAAAAAAGGTGGCGATAGCTTGAGGCTAACTTTGCTATTAAAATCCTACATAGTTCCAACTGCATACGGAACACAGACCGCAGCAAATCTCCTCTGGCTTTTATGGTTGCAAAGGAATAGACAGGAATTAGAAAATGATAAGCGCGCATTGCGAGCTTGCCAAAACGCATGATAAACTGCCCAGTGATGATAAGACAAACCTATGGACTAATCCTAAGCGGAGTGACCTTATGACCGTCTCCGATACCAGTATAGCGGTCGTTCAAAAAAATTAGTTCAAAGGGAGCCCACTCACCACCTAACAGCGGTATTCCGCGTGACCTACGATGTAGTATGCGATTCTCCGAAGGGTGGTCAAACATCTAGCCTCCAGAGTTGTATCGCCCTTTTGGGAGGAACGGTTACTGTAGTTGTGGAGGCAGCAATTAGAGTTCGAATAGTAAATGGACAATGGATTAGCCCCTCTGCAGCAGACGACCGGGGGTGAGGGGGCTTTTATGTAGCGATCTTCAACCAAGGGCCATGTGCAAGCGTAATCAGTTAAATTTCAAGGGGCTACATGATGGGGGAAGAAAAATTAACTTACTCCACATCAGTGTCGGAGTCCGGCTAAGCTAATTAACGGATATCACCAAAACAACCCGCCTGGACAGTTACAACGGCCAACGAGCATATTTTCTAGAAACGCTGACTCACTTCCTTGGCATCACTAGATGCAGACGGCACCAGAGGTACTCAAGACGACAAACAAATCGGCGATTCGTCGTAAAAAGCGGATGCTTATTCGCCGCAAGAAGAAGACGTGGACACTGGTGACCGAGGACAGGACCAAAAGGTAATAAGCAATCCACTGAGAGTTGTTCCACCGCCTGGGAAAGTCGCTGAATGAGACGGATGAGGTGGTGCACGGAAGTGCGGGCCAGGTTTGTTTGACTGGGCCTTTGAGCTTCACCACTCTCACAGGACAGAGTGATGTGAGTTAGAACCGCTTCGAACGCTGAGGAAAGGCAAAAAGGGGGAGATACCATGTGAAGTTCAATCACTTCTTTTATCCCATACATAAATTTCGATGGAGGAAAACGGGAAGTAGACAAGTAAGCTACGAATCTTTCCAAAAGTACTCTACTAATAGTGCATCGTGGACAGTTTGACTGCAATAACTGAAGAGATCGTGCGAGACGGTAAACACGTTGGGCATAATCTTATGTGTGCACAATATATCCAGTGTGTAAATGATGCGTAAAAAGCAATCAACAGGCAATTTTTTCACGGGTTACCCTCTAATAACCTGAAATCATGTAGACGGCTTAGCTTTCCTATCGGTGTCCAAAATTCGTGCGGACTCGGCGAAGTGGTGTAAAACGACGGGCTGATAACTCCGAAATATTTATGCGAACGATATTTTGCCGCAATTAGAGACGTCCAGAATTTCGGACAGGTGAGGATAAATAGTGAACGAACCGGTGATGTATTGTTCACTGATGCACAAGTCTGCTATGGAAACAGCAGTAGTTGCGTATGATTCATCGAGGACCCAGAACCTACCTTCATCTAGTTCCGTCGGCGAACAAATGTTTACCATATTGGCTGCACAATGAAGTTGCGTGGAATCAACGGTTAGTTCATCTGAGACTGACTGCTGAAGCGGGGCAGAAAATTGCTTGACTTGCGGACACCATATAGGATCTAGTAACAGTTCGTCTTGGATCATCAGCTCTCCAACAGTCAAGTTGGGAAAATGGTTCGTGACCAGCCTAGAATATACGAGAAGCAGATGAAAGTTAAACAAACAAGACGAACAACCGTACATCCAGGAAAATGCTAGAACAGGTCAGCATCTTTGTGTATCAGCGAAGGCGCCAGACGAAGAGCTCTTTGATGTGGGATTTAAACACTACAACCTAAGTGGAACTGTTTGTCTTCGGACGCGAACATCAACTCAAGAGAACATCACAAACGAGAGATTCAGCTGCGTTCCAGGTGAGTCTCTCGAAAAACCAAATTAGTTTGCAAATGAGTGTATATTTGCTAATCATCTCAAGATCTTCGCAGAGAATTTGGGGCACAATTTAGTGAAAGACTGTATTGTTTATTGGACAAGTTTCAACTTGGTATGAACTTCAATAGCAATGCTCGTTTGGCTCATTTTGTGACCGGATTCCCATCGTACTGTCATAGATTCTACGTCCTACAATACTACATAACTTTCCCAAGTTAGCTGATAAACTCAGATTACTACTCTCGTCTCATAGTAAACATTATTGGAGGGCGCCTACATTGTGTCTAACGTCGGGATATCGGTGGATTGGGTGGTAGGCACTGGAAGAAGCCAGAATCTAACAGGGATATGAACGTTAGGCTTTCTCAGAAGAATAGGTCCCCCACATGAGTGCAGTGCTATTACTCCAGGAGACTTATTGAAACGTACAAAAGTGTTAACGTTATTCTTCAAATGACCGTCGAATGACCGTCTGATAATGCCCTTTGGCACCGGAAATAGACAATCTGATGTGAATCTCCAGTCAGTGATCCCTGGATCTATTCATCGTCTTGAAATACATGCCAGACTCTACAATCGCAAGGGACGTACGCCTTCCCAATTTTTAGGTAGTAAGATGTAATAACTTCGTGTTTCCAAAGGAAGCTGAGCGGCTCCATTCCGTTGTCATTTCAGTCGAATAACCAATGAAGTGTCGAAGGCGAAAATGTGGTCGAATCTCGAAAAATCAGTTCCGCGAGAGCTTTTTTTTCTTGAGATGGACAAACTAACTATCACTTATTATATCTTGAGTTGCTTCAGACGAGGGGGATTAAGGTCATCTGCCTTCACCTAGCAAGAGAGATGCGGCAGGCGAAACTGTCAACCATTCACGCTTGATTGTTACGCCGCCGATGATAATTGCTTGCTACTGGAAAAAAGATTCACATCACAAAACTACTCCCTTCGAAGTGTTCCTTGAGTAGGGTTTTCTCACAAAGAGGAAGCTCTGTTTTCGCAACATTACAAATCGTCAGAACCATCTCCCTGTTTGTATAACACAAAAAAATAAATATTCAGCTGTAACACCATTTCGGTGTCAAGCCACCATGCCACCTGAAGGAAGCATGAGGGCTGAGATACTGCCAGTTTGCTTAAGCCTAGACAGGATTCTTTGTTTGATGTGTGGTTTACATGAAAGTTTCTTATAAATGGGGTTATTGTGGCCCATATTCTACCAGGAATTCATTTCAGGCGTGCAATCATCATGAGAGCAACATCAGTGTCGACAGCGACGCTTAACTACCGTACAACCATAAAGTTCACCCAATTACATTTAAGTCTTAGAATGAGAACAGGAAATAGTTGGTGAACCTGATGCTGGCCTATGTCAGGCACTCTGATGTGTCTACAACAAAAACGCTAAATCAGAGGATGCGGAAAAAAGTGACGGCACGAACGTCAATGACGTCGATCAGCCGCCATTTCCCACACTATCTCCGGACAAGCGCAACAGGGTTCACGGGGAACCCATTCTGGAAGGCATACAACACCAATAACACCCAAACTCCTTCTAATCTCTTTCGCATCCTTCTGCCAAGTCATACATTGTCTGCCTCGCGGTTTACGACATTCTGAAGGAGGCACGGAGAACAACACCCGTCCCTTTAGACGGTGCTGAACGTTTTTCGCGATTAAAGTACCTGCTGCACAATTATTACCTCGTTACCAATCCGTTGACGCCATCCAAAACGAGCAACGCTTCCGAGGCATCGGGGGTCAAAACCTGGAGAAGTCTCGCAGATCTGAAAAGTGCAGTGAAAAGCAGCATCGTACAAGTATATGTTCAGAATCCATTCTAGTATTCCATAAGGAGCGGCAGGTCGTGACCGAGCCTCGCCACCGATAACAGACGCTTCTTCTCTGTCGCCCAATACAGTAGACTCACCGGCATATCCAGTTGCATTGGCTTCTGCATCAGCAGATATGCGCAGCCAGAACATGGAAGACAGCGAGGTGGCAGTCAGTCCAATTACAGTACTTGCTACCTGTATCCTTGTTTCTGACAGACAGCATACATTGATGCAGATGGAATCCAGCGTAAGAGCAAGAAACACCTGTTGTTCTGCTTACTTCAGTGTGCGAACATTGAAGGTGGCTAAGCAGACAGGCTTTCGGGGTTTGAAAACAGACTTCGAAGTGTTAAGGGTTGTTACTGAATTCGGATGTGCAAATGAGTTGAGTGTCATGCGCACGGTGAACAATGTGGTCAGTCCTAATGATGGGGTCTGTGGATGTGGGTGGGGTAGGGCAGAAGAGTGGAAACGTGAAATTGTCAAAGGAGGCTTCAGCAGTAGCATCTTTCCTCTGCCCACCCTGCTATATGCAGAGAGATCATCCGGCTGGTGACACCATGCGACAGCCGACGTGGCATGGGACTATTGTTAATTGTCACTGTCATGGTTGTACCGCCAGGGTGCCCACAACTAGACAAAAGGACGATTAGGATCCTCGACCAAAGCCATTGGTTCAAAATCCTGAGTGCAAGCCGGCGGTTTGGCGGTAAATGCAAGTGCATTACTATTTTATGGAAAACGTCACCACACATGTTCCAACCTCCAACCTGGAGGGCCAGCAGACTGTGTTGTTCAGACCTCGAGCGATTGACCTTCCTAGTATGAGGGACTCTGAGTGTCGCATGGACACCACTCACCATATCTCAGTAGGTCACGAAGGCACACAAACCGTCACACCACAATAAGGTCCAGTTTCTTCGTGACGACAGAAGTGGAGTCCTGGGAAAGCTTTCGTATAACAACCGTGGGAGTGTTTTTGGTACATCTTATATTCTAATCGAGTTAAGGCATTGGCAGTAGTAAGTAACAGTGTGGGAGAACTTCAGCAATTTGATCGATAATCAAAAGACCATTTCTCCGAGGTTTAAATTGCTGTGCTTATGAATTGAGACCTATTAAGCGTAAAACAGTTATGGAAATCTCATACTGCGTAAAATGAGATCTCAGGCTGTTTACCATCGATGTGTCCGCGGTGCTGGCTAGTTCGTAGGCTTCCAAAAGACCGCCACAGTAGCCAAATGCCACAAGGTGGTGCTTTTGCTGCATTCGAAGAAGTCTGCCGTTCTCAGCTCGGTAGTTGGTGTACCAAAACTGATTCCTCCTTTTGTTTCGTGTCGCTGGGATAGTATTACGTCGTCAGTAACACGGATCGATCCTGAGAGATTGTTAAACGCATTGATCAAGCTTTTTTGGAATGGGGGACGTATCCATCTAAATCGACCGGAAGGAGTACGAAAGTGGTGAGCTAGCCTGATTGGTCGTTGAGTGACAGTTGCCAGAAAGCAGATTGCAAATCAAACTTGGTGGGCAGTTTCAGCTAACAATGGTCTGAAGATCTATCGTCTACTGTAGTATGAAGTATGTAACACTCATAAGTTAAATTAATGCAAGTAATTGGACGACTTTGGGTCGACATAAAGTCGTGATTCGCCTTCCTTCAGATATATCACTGATACAATCTGCTGGTTTAGGAACTGGTGCTGGACTACCCAACGTCGTCAGACAGTTCGATTCGACGCGCAACAATTCACGTAGCGTTATTGGTACCACTTTTACTGGTGATACCACAGGAACTGCATTGTTTGCGACGATTAAGCTGACCTCTGGTAGGCAGCCTAGCTCATCAGAAAAAAAGAAGTATTTTTTCGAAAACAATACCGGGGTGCGCGGTACATGAACAGTAGTAACAAACTTCAATTTCTTGATCTGAAAAACCAAGAATTGGCGTCAAATCCGCCTCGGTCATAAGAATTTCTAGGGTATGTTGTCCATACAGGAGTTTTTCTGATTTACTGGGAATGTGTGTCGTTCAACATTTGTAGGTCTGAGTTCATAGGTGATAACAGCAGACGTCGGGTGTGGTGGTCAGAGAAAAAGTTTATGGAGGCACCTGAATTCAACTAGAATATGCGGTGTTGGCCTTCAACAAGCAGGTTAACATCACCGTTCAGCTGTAACACCCTTCGGTGCCTAGCTGCAATGCCACCAGAAGGAAGCACGAGGGCTGGGACACTGCCAGGTTGCTCAAGCCTAGACACAGGAAGTCGGAAGGCAGAGGTCGAATTCGAACCACGGACTTCTGGTCAGTAAATTCGTGCTCCAACCAATTGAGCCACATCGCCCTGCGGGTTAACATAGGTTTCAGTCGACCGACTGTTGCCGTTACATTTAACTGATGCCGCCTCGAGCACTCTAATAGCAATGAATCGGTATTTACTGGTGGAAACAAATAATCGTTCAGCCGTACCACACTCTCAGGGCCTAGCTGTCACGCTACGGGAAGAAAGCACAGGGCACAGATACTGCCAGGTCATCAAAGTTTAGACAGGAGCAGTCGAGAAGCCGGGGTCAGGCTCGAACCACCGATCCTCCAGTCAGTAGGTCTGCGCCCTAACCACTGCGCCATCTCGAGCTCAGTCGGCACTTGCGGTCGAAACGATTTCGTTTGCTACACTTGGAGGACGGGGTGTGCCGTCCAGCAGAAACTGCAGTCCGTTGAATTCTTCATCATGGCCGCGTTTAGTCTGGTTGGACCAGGTACCATCGGGGGACAGCAGAAGAGACTCAGCAAAAGCATCACTGCGGCATATATTGATGCACTAAGCAGACGATAGCTGACGGTATTTGAGAAGTCCCTTTGTGACACTTATGTCAAGAACACTCAGAATGATAAGGTCGAAACTTATTCTTCGATTCATGCGGTTTCGAAAACTGCAGAACTAAGCGAGGTCCTTCAGCATCAGCACGTTCTGTGCTCTCCTTTGGCAACTGGTCGCAGCGAAAGAACTGGAATCGTTCAGATTCTCCATTCAAGTGGTCCAAACAGTACTAATCGAGTTTGATGATAATGAGTACTGGATACCCGTGGTCTCTGTTGACTTCAAGCGAGAGTGCATTGACGGTGCACCAGGTGCTTGGTCCAACTGTACGTCAACACAGCATCAGCTGGTATTCTTTTGAGTTTGTGTCGAATTCTCCCAAAATTAGGAAGTCATCATTGCTCTATTTCCAATTTTCTGCGGGTTCGTTCTGTTCCGCAGTATTCAGCGGTGCTGGTTGTGAAAGAGTCATTTGATGCATTCCAGGAGCTGACGAGTTCACCTCTGACACGATGTCAAGAAGAGCTGTTTCTATTCTGTATTCGATCAGTCACCGTGAATGAACAAGCCTTCCTAGAATGAAGCCCCTGTTCTGATCAATAAGAGAATTTCATTCGGTTCATTCAAATACCTTCGAGTTCAAAATGCAGTGGCTTGTTTGCGAGAATTGACCAACATACCACACAACTAAGCATAGTTGGCACTTGGGCACAAGAGAAGCGTATATGAGAATAAGCCTCACGTGCAAAGTAAGGTCTGGCTTGGTTTCCCATACTCATCTTAGATAAGCTGGTACCATAAATCAAGGAATAAGGGACAATTACGTCCGGTCATTACCTTTTATAGACGAACATCTCTTACTTGTGAACCGTTCTGACGTCCACCATCGATATTCTTTCATACAGAGTGTCTGGGGTGCGTAACGCTGCCCTCAAGCGTGCTAGTATGGCATATGACGGACTTTTGTTGCTCATTGTAAATCATCACAGTTTGATGTACATACAAACAAATATCATATTTTCCCACCTTGGCGTAAACCTCACTCGGAATTACTGAAAAAAAGGGTGGAGGTTATGCCTCGAAAAGTTGAGCTTCGTTGTTTGTGGGGGGAAACTAGTTAAATTGTTGCATACATATATCCGGGTTGTTTACGGATGAAATTACGCCGAATTTGTCTGATATCAGTGACTTCCTCCAGAGCGATAGAGGGAAGTTTGTCTGAAACTGGATTTAAACCGAGCGATTGGTGACAGGGTTCGAAAAACTGCGACTAACCAAGGTGGACATCATACGGATTCACATTCATCCTGAGCTGCCCACCCAGTCAAATAAACCAAACAGAGTGTAACGTTGAGTGATATGAAAGATGGATTATTCAAACGGACTGAGAAGTCATTGTTCCAGAAGGATTTGGTGAACGATGTCAATGGCGGGACATGTACTAAACACGGGATACCGAATGGATTCAGAAAATGTTGAAGTTCTGAAACGGATACTGCGATTCACGCCACACTGATTGATAAACGAGGAGGTAGAAATGGCAAGGCATTCCAGTGTGAATAGAACATAATAGAAAGGAGGAAACGGAATACAATAGACACAGACCTGACGACAGTGTGGAGACGGGATCTGAATTAGTCGAACTGACACGTGGAAGTGCGTTGTTATCACTGAAGAGGAATGACTAACTGAAGTACTCCAGGTCGGTCAAACGTTAACGCAATCTCACTGTCCACCGTAACCAAATAATCGTGGTACTTTCGAACAGAAAAACAGAATTTTCAAATGACACCTATGAGGAATCATCAATTGAAGCATACTGGACCGGAAGTTCAAGAACCCAAACCAAACTGAAATGACTTTAAATTTCCCAAACCCATCGGCTGAAAAAACTCGGGCACCCACACTAACTGACAACACCTTGTATCCGACGTACAACACTGGCTGATCGAAAGATATCTCTGCGATTGGTTCTCCGTCCACCCTAAGACTCGACCAACCACTTGGTACGACAGGCGGAAATTTGCTTAGCTATAAATCCACGAACTATTTACCAAACGTTTCTGAAACGAAAAAGCTTGGATAACGTTTTGAAAACAAAAACCTGAGGGCACGAGAAAAAGCGCGGAACATACTGCAGTAGACGTGGATACAACGGACCGTAGTCAGTTACATTTGAACGGGCATGTCGAAGCAAGTAGGTAATGGGAATGCAATCCCAAAGCTGATCGGAATAGACACACGGAGCTTCGCCTGGCAAGCAGTCTGGAAATAGAAAAATACGTAGTGAATATACTATGCACACAATGAAAACGGAACAGTAAACGCAGCAGTTCCATGGTACACCAGAAGGCCCAACAGTTTACCGAAAGTAGCGCTAGCTTTAGGTGACCCAATCACATTCGCGGGATACAGGTAATGGATGCTTAAGAAAATGCTGTAAACAGGTTCCGTCCATACACACGGGTACTTTAGTTGTGCGAAGGAAGTACTCCTAAATCTGTAATAGCAACAAAGAGCCACACACTGAAACTCAGCTGTCATATGACGATAAACAAAGTACCAAGTTTGGACAGGATCAATTGATCATGACAAGCGGACAGGGATACACCCCAAAGTGTACCTTTAATCGCATTTAGAGTGGGTATGTATGAGTTACAGGCGCAACGTGAATAGCACGCACCGATGGAATCTTTCAAAGTTGTCAACAACGGCACGACAGAAGTAGGCCTACTTTGCAGTGAATGTCACCAACTAAGTAAGCTTTTAGTAATTAGGCAGCGCGCCGTTGCGTTGACGAGTACAGTGCTTCTTTCATGCTCCTTTAAAAAAATAGTAGGAGCTCCAACGAAAAGGCGAAATGAAACAAACAGACGAGGGGTGGATAGCCGTTGCAGGCTTTGAAATACAGAGGGCTAATGAATAACTTCCAAATCCGAAGGACGATGACATTGGTAGAAATATCCGTCGCGCTCTACTAAAAAACTTTGCGCAAGTCGAAATCGTACGTAACTGTTCCGATTGAAAAGAGTCATAAAAGTGGTTGACCAACACATTGGCTCTGTTTATTGGGTTGGGTTGGCGGGATATCCATTCCCTATACGTGGCAATGTGCAGACTTGGGCCAACAAACGTGGAGTCCAGGTCAGCACAAGCACTAAAACTAAGCTGTGTTCGGATAGCTCCGTTGCGTCCTACTTCGATTATTTCCAAGTCAGTGAATCTCAAGGAAGAAGTAGTGTAACGAACAAAACCTGATCATCTGATTACTACATCACAAACAATATGAGGACTACGAAAGGAGTATTCAGTCCTAGGGAACAGTTAATGAGTCACATCGAAAACTGTGACGAATATGAAGACGACAAGGATGGATATGAGGAGGAAGAGGCCAATGCTTGCATATCCTTGCACAGTTGGCCGGAAATTAATTAGGAGTAAAGTGTGGATGCCAGCCGTAGAGGGTTGATCATTTGTTTAAGCCCTTGCTTAAATTGAACAAGGTGGAGGTCCGAAAGCATCTCCGGAAACGAATGGATCATAAACCAGCGCGACTATTCCATCCCTATACTCAACTATTTCTGAAAATGTAGAGACCTTTTTCGTTCAGGCTCTTGTTAAATCCACCGCATTTCACATTATGGAGATACCTTGAAACACGAATTCCTCTTAAGTGGAAACCAAACTAGATAGGCCATTACCTAGCCTACAAGAAAGCATGATTTAGTACAAGCGGTATGTCCATGAAATGGAAATTAGTTGGTGGCTTTCTCTTCTGTACACGCACAAAACAGTGATGGCTGTCACCATGGAATGTTTGTTAGCGGCGCTCGTCAAAAACGTTTGACTCACTACTAAGAGTCAAATCTTCCTTCACAATCGTGCGAATCTGGTCTGCCGAATCAAACCGGATCGATCCCCATTATCTTATTTTCACGTTGTTCTGCTATTTGGTCTTCTTGTGTAAAGAGAACAAGGACTAGGACAGATATTCACAATGGCCGGGTGACAGACCCGGAGTTTGACATGAGGGAATGAAACCCAGACAGTCTAATAGTCAGATTTGGAAAAAAACAGCGGACGTTACGAAGCTGACAATAAAAGTGCAAGACTACAATGGGTAGATAAGTTACGACGGATTACACGGGAAGGATAACCGTACCATACCGCACCGGGTAACCGAGTCACTGTAATCGGTTCGCTCAAGTCATGGATGGATTTTATCCTTTTGCGTTCTGCTTACAGTGGATCGGCGGTGTTGAGCACTATGTCACTTCTTGAAAATTACTCGAAACCCAATTCCACATATTTGGGAGATTTCTAATCGAAAGTACAAATAGGACAGATAGCTGTGTTTGCTCCGGGTGGGTGATCGTTTAGTCATACATCTCCAACAATAAGTCGAATAATTCTGAATCACAAAGATATTGACTCCCATTTCCACTTTGAAGTATCAACGAAACCAGGAAATCCGAAAACACCGTTCAATTTACACGTGGTGTGCAGTTGACAGTGAACTAAACCAAACCCAATCACCGTTCTACTGAGTCGCTGACAGCTGTGGGATTTACTGAAATCCCCCCTGTCTTCTCAATCAAGATTATCACTGGGAACGCGTGCTTGGGACAAACCTACTTACTGCTTATGAATGAGCGCGTGAACGCTTAGACTACACGATGGACTTTCACCCACAAACTAGTTCACACATGGGGCACATAGCAAAAGAAGATAGACAGACTGCATTTAGAATTAATTGCTGCCCTGTTGCTCATTAAGTTAAAAAAAATGCCCGGTGTCTGGCAATCTCAACTAGACAATCAGAGTGCAAGCCATCCTTTTAATTCTAAGTGAGTTGAGAACAAAAGGGTATGCACATGAGACCTGAACTAGTGTGTGGTCCAAGGATTACGAACGCCGTCTCTCGCACCACGACATATCAAGTCACGCGGTGAATCCGTGCTGATAACTGAGTGAAGAATCCGTGCTGATAACTGAGTGAAGATTTAGTAGAGAAATTCCAGATAAACAGTTCCATGGGCAGTTGACTAGCATGCCATGTACTGTTCCCATGGTTCTCATTGGCAACACCTAATCCGATCTTCGTCTCTGTCAAAACATCCCATCGCTTGAAGACTGTAATTATCATACGTTACCAAGTAATCTCGCGCGCTTTATTTTTAAACACTACTGTAGTCGAGTAATTTGCCTGATAAAATTGGAAAAGAGAATGCAGTCGGAAACAAAATGGGCAGTTTGTTCCACCGATCAAAATTTGGTATCCCAATAAATGATGTCAACATCTGATGGGTACTACAGACAACTGGAACTGCTCAACCCAACTGGGTCAAATTTGACTAAAGTGCATAGTTTGTTTATATTAGGTGGCGAAAACGGGCTAATCCAAGACAAAAGATGAAAAAAGTAATTGTTGAGAAGTGAGTTTAGAATGAGATGCGATTTGCAACCTGTCAATGACCTTATTTAACAATTGGCAAAGTAGGGTCTGATGTACATCCTCAAACAGGTGGGCAGAATTATCGTTTGTTTTTGAGGTGGAGAGAGCGAGCATTATCTTGGCAAATACAATAGGCACCTTTTGGGGAGAAATTTTTACACGAGAAAGAAGCATTTCTCTCGGTTCCAGTTTGATGCATCATTCAATAAAGTTTCGATAAAACCCACAAAATGACATGCTTAATCAAAGATCACTTTACCCAGACTGATTACTATAGATTACTTCTGTTACCAAGGCGTTGAAAAATATTCATATCAGTAGACCTGGACTGTAAGGGTTTAAAATGAAATTAGATATTACTCGTTCTATGCAAGCTAATTCCATCGGTAAGAGTGTGTAGTATCGCTGGGCAGGGTAGCCTTCACTTCCTCTGAACTCAGATTCGCAAGTGAATAAGGCCATGAGTTATCATGCCAATGGAGGCTCGCATTTTGAAAGTTCACCCATCGCAAACTCATCGGTTAATGAGCCTGATGAGACACTTACACAATACTACTATTTTTTGCCCACAAAGCCACGTCTTTGCAAGTTTTTTGTTATTCCACGCTTCCGTTGTGGTTAATTGGTTCAATGGTCATTAATCTGACTCTGACATTTTCGACTATCCTGAGTTACCTAATTCAGTGAACAACTACAGTCAAGTGAGGAAACAACATTGTGAAACGGAAATTCACGAGAGTGGATTTAATTGACACAGTCATTCATCTAGTGCTTTCAAAACAGAAAAATGTTACCACGGGACATTTAAATGGCTTCCATAGACTTCCAAAGTCCAACGGTATTGTCAAGCACACCGGTGAATTAAATTCAGTAGGAGATTAGAAGGGGTGGGTTGCAATCAAACGGATACGAGAACCGCTAGCTACGTTGGCCGAGTTAACTGGATGCATTCTACACACCCCACTGGTCTGTTGCCAATGACCTGAATCAGACTGATAGAACAACGGTGTTTGAATACAGCGACCTGACAGGGAAGGCTGTAGCGAAACCTCTAGATGAGTAGCCCCTCTTCGGTGGTCCCCTTGTGCGGCACCGTAATTTAAGCGTGTCTTATGCTACATCCTACAGGTTCAAGGCACGGAAGATAGAATAAATATATAATCGTTCAGCTGTAACACCCTTTTGGTGCCTAGCTGCCATGCCACCTGAAGGAAGCATGAGGGCTGGGATACTGCCAGGTTGCTCAAGCCTAGACAGGGGAAGTCGACAGGCAGAGGTCGGGTTGGAACCAGGGACCTTCCAGTCAGTAAATCCACGCTATAACCATTGAGCCATCTCACCCAGGGCACACATGTTTCACCTTGATCTAGACCATCCATATCAGAAGCTTTTCAAGTCGCAGTTCACCAAAAGTGGGTCCCTAATAAATGAAAACAAATTATCAAAGTACCAAGCCTCGGTAGTCTATATGATTTAGGACAAACGCCGTTCGCGACGGAACTAATAAAATGTAATAGCAATTATCGGGCATGCAGCTACAGACACACACCCAATCAGTCAATTCATTTTTAAACTACTACCAGCCCAAACGACACTAGCCCATTTATATATAGTTGGGAATTCGATTATCTGAAAATCGCTCAATTTCGTTAGATGCAGGACGAGGGGAACGGCGTGACTGAAGAAATTTGAAAGCCAGTGTGCAGTGATTAACACGGTGTAGTGGCCAGGGGAGCTGGATCTTACAATGTCTGGTAGGAAAAAACCCTCAGTTATCCCACGCGACCAATTCAATCAGAATAAAGGGCAATTGCTAATGGGGACTACAAATTGCATGGGAGCAGGTGCAGTAATACAATACATTCTTTCCGTAATGAATAGAAAGATTAAGTGAATTTTACCAAGTGAGCGGGATTGGGAGGTTGTGAAGGCCATAAAGTCGTATTAGACATAAGATTGTTGGAGAGGTGTGTGAAATTATGTGCCAAAATGTTGGCTTTAAAAAGGTGGACTTACGCCTGTTTGATAACAATCTCGAGGTGATTTGGTAGTCGTACACGTAGATAGCATAATAGAGAAACAACAGTTCAGCCGTGAAGTCGACCTGTGTCGAATCAGTGGGTGGTGTGCTATCCTTACAGGCTATATCCAACGATGGCGAGCACAGCTGAGCCAAGGGGTACTTAGCACCATTTTGAATTTGTACAATTAATTCACGTTCGGATATCAGAGCAGACGGTTCACCAATGCAACCGGGAGTACTCGATGCCCCGAACGAATGGACGATGTGGGCCTCCACAAGATCTGGAAGAAGCGGATGCATCGGTCGAACACTTTGGCGAATCTGTCCGACAAGCCAGTCCTACGAGACATAAAGGGAGGATATAGAAAAATAAGAGGAGCATCCACTTTAACATCTCTGAAGGGATCATCTAAGTCATGCCAACAGCTGAAAAGATCTCAGAATTAAACAGGTGAACTTGGATTTGAGTTAAGCTGATCAATTCCTAGGGCCGGATTCTTTTATGGATGGGTCACTAAGCTTGGACGTCACCGGTATCGCCTAGCCGAAGGAGGGACAAATGTGGATTATAGTGGGCGCGTCACTCAACAAGACAAGCGGGATCAAACCACCTCGATGTTCGAGATATACGGAATACTGGCAATTGTTCTTTGTCATTCACTCAGACACACTGTTGTCTTTTGTGTTAAGGTGCCTCAATTAATTTGTCAGGATGACGGGACAGGAATTCTAGAATGTCCCAAAAGCAATTGGACGTTAAATTAAGACGCCTAATGGGTAAAGTTCGGAGCGCTGTGCACCCATTCATAACAAGCTAACGCCGAGTATTGCTGGTATAACTATCAAAACACATTCGGATCCGTATCGCATTATCTCAAGAATTTTATCGACTCACTAAGAACGCGCGAAAGCTGCAGCAGCACGGTGCACCAATGTTCCAACATTATCGGTTGACACGAGAACGGTACTGTATACAACGATGGATATTAGGTTTTTGTCGAGGAGCGCGTAGAACTTGATCAGATGCTTCAAGGGAGACTTCAGGTTTTCGAAACTTGCTACGTAATTTCCGATTGATCAGACAAAGCTCAGCCGATGGCTGTCCCGTCCTGGTTTCAGTCAGATCAGTCGAATCAGACTCAGTTTTCTTCTAAGCCCTGTCGCAGAAGACATTATAACGCCTTCATCCGTATTGGGTACTTCACATTCACATTCACACACACACGTGATCGCGTCTAACCAAAAGCCAATTTTAGGGACACATATGAGAAGACGATAGTGAACCCAAATAGTGTTGTGTTTGACCCTTATTCGACTGATTGCGAAAGGCCTTGATCAAGTCCTCCCACAGCATCCGAATCTCATTTCACTACGCTGTGTTTCGATTTAAACTTCCTCTGTTCACCAGACCATAAAGTGAGCCCTCCGAAATGGAATGTAGGCATCATTGTACAAGTACCGAGATAGAATGCATTCAACACCCCTAGCTCTAAGATTACCTCGAACACTGTCGTCGGACAGCTGACCTAGAGTACTTCAAAGCCTCGTTAACCGTCAAATCCGGGTAAAAAAAGCAACGTGGAGGGACACGCATAGTGGGGTTGTGGAACGGACACAGCTTACGGTAGATGAAATAGTGGAAGGCATAAAAGCATGTCTGAATCTCACCCACTTCGTATTTGACTCAGTGGTTTATACTCAAGAGCAAGGTCTAGCAATGGGATCTCCAATATCCCCGGTTTTGGCAAATATATTTATGGAAGAATTTGAACAGAGAGCTTTAGCCGGATTCCCACATCCACCAAAGATATTCTGGCGGTATGTAGATGACACTTTCGTCGTCATGAAACGGGACAAGGTTAATGAGTTTTACAATTATCTGAATGAACTGAGTCCACAGATCAAATTTAGTATGGAGATAGAGTCGACATCGGGTAAACTGGCCTTCTTAGACTGCATGACACATAAGGCTGGGGGGAGACTCAAGACCACAGTGTATGAAAAGCCAACCGACACTGGGGCAGTTTTGAACTACTCGTCTGCCCATCCGAAGTCGGTATTCGCCAGTATTGCGTCATCAATGTTTAGGCGTGTAAGGGCCCTGTGCACAGAAGAAGCCGATCGAACAGCGGCCCAAATTGAGGTAAAAAAAAACAAACTTCGGGGTAGTGGATATCCAGCTAGCTTGATTAGGCGTCAATTGCGAAGGGTGTTGATACCGGTAGAGAAACCCAAGAGGGAATAGATTGGGACAGCTGTTATTCCATATAAACCAGGGACATCGGAGGCAATTCGAAGAATTCTAAACATGGCCAACATTAGAGTAGCTTTGCAGAGGGGCAACACTCTGCGCTCTGCATTGGTGCAATTGAAGGATCGCCTCCCGGCAAACAGAACCAGGGACTGTGTCTACAAAATCAAGTGTAATGACTGCACCAAAGTCTATATAGGACAGACGGCCAGGGAACTATACATCAGAGTCGGAGAGCATAGTAGAAAAATAAATAGGCCGCCGAGAAACGCAGATGAATATCAAGCGTTACTGAAAAACTCGGCGATTGCGGAACACGCACTAGACACAGGACACAAAATAGATTTAGAAAATGTTGAGGTTTTGAGGCGAGGACTACGGTCCACGTCAGACGGACTGATCGCCGAGGCGGTAGAAATCGCTAAGCATCCCAGCGTCAACAGAATGGAAGGCGTAGAACTGGCTAGCGTGTGGAGAACGGTCTTGGGTCACTCGAGCTGACACGTGTTGGTGTGCGGTCATCAGTAGGAAGAGTAGTCATCACTTGGATTCCACTTGACCTCAACCCCCCTCAAACTAAATTGTCGGAACACTCACAACCCCACAAAGACTAAGGAAAATCTTACAGCAGCACCCGAGGCGAATCATCAGGTGAAGCACTCTGAAGTGGAAGATTAAGGAACGGAAAGCGATCGGAACTAATTTGGAACCCTCCAACACATCGATTCAAGATTTTGGCACCCACACTAGCCGACAAGAGCCGTTAATTGACACTCAACACTGATTTAGTCTGAAGAGAACTTACTGATTGGTTCCCCGTCTGTCTTATAACCTGGCCAATTTTGTGACCTGTTCACTTGGCCTGATGAAGCTTTTGTGTCAAAAGCGAAACGTTGCCCAAATAAAAACTACCGATTGTTTACCAAACTCTTCTGAAACGACCTTTTTAGTCTTTTTTTTGTTTATATAGAAAACCAACGTGTTTACAGCCATAACGCAGTAATCCATGGGACAAAATATAATTGCCCTCAAACGAAAAGATATGAGTACCGACAGATTGTCTGCTGCTCATTCCAGCTTGAAAGCAAATGGAGGGGGGAGTGGGAACAAATTGAGTGACATGAAAAGCAGCAGCGGGTGTTGGTCTAACGAGAAAATGATGTTTACACAATCAATGTCAGGATACAGCACAAACAACATGCAGAATAGCGTCAACCAAGTTAGGATGAATTGTGTGATTATATGTTGCATTACAATGGTAGTGAAACTAACGAAAGTTAATGAAATCCGGAACGTCCGAATCTGACGTCACACGTGAATCTACAGTTTCCGACATGAAGAGAAGTAATGCATAAAAGTTGTTCAAAGAAGGCTGTTCCAACAAACCAAATTCAACTCGAGAACTGAATACATCAGAAAGCTTAAAAACCACTCTGAATACTGTTCACCTAAGTTCCGTTCAGGTTGGAACCTATCAAGCGGATGATGCAAGAACGGTGGCGCGTCACTTTGGTTAACAGCTTTTCACTGTCGGGAGGCAGTGGCCACAATTTTGTACAGGGCGACTACTATTTCAATTCATTGTTTGGTTCAAACCATGTGATGAAATTGGCTAGAGTCAAGTGGATATTCTTGACATCGCATCGAGGGTTTGTGTTGATGCAGCGATTGAACGTCCGTAGGATGCAAATGAACCATGTCATTTTCCTAGACTGTTTTAACTAGCCTTACACGTAACGGGGTTTTCTATAGAGGAAAATGTTGGTAGCTCAGGTAGCGTAGATGGTCGTTGACTTGTTCGCTGAGCTGGGCACTTTGATTGCAAATGTTTCATCACCAATCGAGGTAACATCGTCGGTGAGTCGTTGGGGAGCGTAGTGGTGCGTAACGGTGGGTTAGTGGTTGTGCCCACCCATCACCTCGATTGGTGATGAAACGTTTGCAATCAAGTTGCCCAGTTCAGCGAATAAGCCTACGACCACCGTAACGGGCGAAAAGTACTCTTTAGCTGACTTACACAGTAGGGCCGAGAAGATTGATGACAAAATAAGGGTCATTAGAATCCGATATGAGTGTGGCTCGTTTTTTGGTGCAGAACGAGCAACGAAAGGTAACAAAAAAACAATAAGGTGCAGAAAAAGCCACTGCATCAAGTTGGGTTGGCCAAGCAGCTGAAAAGGGCAATGGCTGTCAATCAAGTACTCAAAGGCCTAACGGTGGCTTAGCACACAAGCAGTTTCATGTCTAAGTTTGGTGTAATAATGTCCAAGAAGGAAATTTTCCTGAACCTTCAAAAGCAAAATGATGCCGGATGCATTCCGGCTGAGAACAGCCGTAAAATAGAAGTTCCAAAAACAACTCAACCGTACTTTACCTTACTTCATTAACTCGACCTAATCCTGCCAGAGCCAGGTATTTTTATTTCTTGGGAGGCTCGCACATTCACCCTTCCATTTGCATTTATGTCTACCTCATCGTTCAAAAATCCAACCAGTGAAGACAAGCAGGCGGTTGGTTGAACAGTTCCGTGACCAATTCATCGTGTCTTTCGTTTATGTGATGCAAATAACTACTTCTCTCTTATGGGTTGTTTTCGACAATCAGTGTAGAGTAACAAATGTTACTTTCACGGGAAAGGAAAATAGTTCTACCAGGGTCCCCCACCACCAGACCACAACACTAGATCGATCAAGGCCGATGGCTGAACACCCGGTAACCAAACATGGATGGGTGCTTCATTGACGAACTTACCTTGATTTCTAACTTGTTCTTCGCGAACGCGTGTGACTTGAGCAACTGTAGGGCACACTGAATAGGCAGATGTGTCGATGAACTTCGGTTCAACAGTGGAGTAATCGGCACTCGAGCAACCTGACTAGCGATCATCTGAAACGAAAAATCAGAGCACTTTATCGATTTCATGTCCATTATTCTGAGATTAGGATGTAATGTCCACATCGCGAGTACAAATACTATATGAAGTAAAATGAGATCAACGTCTCCCATGCAAACCATTACTAACTTGGAAACTTTGGCAAACCATGACGGGGAGTAAATAGAGGTTACATACGTTCACATCAAAGAAAAGATGTGGGTGGCGTTTTCAGCATGCACTCTGGAGTTTGGACGCGGCAAACAACTCTATCATATCTCCTTTGCGATTCTACCTAACAAACTTACCAGGTGAGAAGCAGTAGAAAGTGCTACCAGACTCTCCATAACTAATGAACTTCCCTGTTACGAAGAATATCGTGTGACTGTGCGTGGCATTCGCCAGTTTTAGGCCATTCATCCCTACATCCTATGACCATATCCGGAATAAAGCTGAAGTTGAGTAACTTTGTCGGAGGCGTAATAGATAACTTGCTGACACATTTCAGAGTGGTCCTCTGACCTCCTAGTAATGGTGACAGGAGGAGCAATCACCTTTGTCGACAGGTCCATCATGCTACAATACGGCGGTCCTTTCCCTAGAATTGTGGCGACAGGTAGCGGCCAAGGCTCCATGAATCCCCTAAACGGATACAAAAACAGGCCGTTCAAAGTAAACTGGTGAGATAGAGTGGAAGACTTCATTAGCAAAGTAAGGGCAGCGGTATTGTACTACTCATAAGGTTGCTGAAAATCCATCGACAGCCCACGACCGGTTTCGCCCTTTTGCCTGAGAACATCACAAATGAGAGATTCAACTGGTTTTCAGGCGAGTCTCTCAAAAAACCAAATTAGTCTGCAAATGAGTGTATATTCGCTAAGTACACCGGTGTTTTTGTCCGAAAGGGTTGACAGATCTGGCCTAACAAAACGGCTACTGAGAATTTAGCAACCTTTACAGTTCCCTATCTTGTAGATTGCGTTTGGCGGTGCAAAAGTTTGAGATAAAACTACAATCAGAACCAAAACGCTGCTGGAACTATCAGTTATGAGGACGGATATATACACTGTCGAATTAAAGATGGTCAAAACGAACAGAAGCAACAGAATATTAGTAACAATGATTTTATGGCGTGAATATGTCAGTGTGGATTGTGTCTGGATTGCTCAGATCATTCGAAATCAAACAGACTCAAATGAACAGCACTCGTGCAACTGTAAAAAATTGGGGGGTGGCAAATTATTACAGTGTGCATTCACAAAAACGAAATGATGTACAAAATTTAGGTGAAAAAAGTAGCGACAGTGTTTAATCAGATGATGAAGATGATTACTCGGATCCAAAATAAATTCCTCGTGGCTCCTTCTTATCATGATAAATGCAGCCTGAAATTTTTTTAAAAAAATGTTGACAATTCGAGACAAAAGATCGATTAAGAGTGAAAAAGGATAAACCAACATTTGGAACCATAGCTCGTCAAAGATAAGCGCAAATGAGGCCAGTGGGAAAAGGAGGACAATGGTGTAGGAAGATGTTGGAATATTTTTTTAAAAACGACTAAGAATCGCATTGATTGACGAGCAAACTCACGTGGGACAAGCAGGGAGGTGAACAAACAAATTACGCGTACAAAAGATAACGGAGGATGGGGAAAATGGTCTAAATTGAATTCACTGTATTGAATGAACTTGACAGAAGCAAATACGAGGTTGATAAAGAACCGAAACGAATGCAAGTCTCGTAAGCAAGACGCAGTGTGTGTATATTGTCAGGGGACAATGGAAACCTAAAATCACGCGGACAGATACGATTCGTTCCAGGTCCAATCCCAAAACAATAGGCAAAGCAAGGCAAGGGGTTTATTATCCAGTTAAATTGATCTCCAAACTGTAATACGGACAGAACGTCTCCGATTACAAAATTTGGTGGTGGTATCAACAACAATCGGTGGAAGGGTCACGAAAGACACAACACAAAGCCCGAGAAGCAAACAATAAGTTGACGAAGCCAAGTAACTGCGTACCTGGACGTTGCGCCACAATGGCAAAAAGGACTAAGTGTTTGGATTTGTGATCATGAACAATTCATTGCTCTATGGTACCAACGGTGCACGCAAATCTACTGAACCTTATTCTGTTCGGGCGAAACAGCGGTCCGTCGCTATACTTGTTACGGCTAGCTTCAGTGTTACGAAAAAACCTCAATAGAGTATTGATGATAGTCAGGAACATGCATACTGGAGGATAGTAGTTTGAAGACACGTCACAGAACGCAAAAAGTTCGCGTTCATTCACAATTGTATTACGCAGACGTGGACAAGAGTCAAACGTCCAAGCTACCGATAAGATGTTCAAAAAAGTCAGTGTTAGCCTCGTATAGCTGGGGGGATACTGTGCACGATAGATCATTCACTACTGTAGAGTAGGATAGTTACACCAAATGCACTTGTTTCTATCGAGCACAGTCGTAACTGGACGAGATAAGTTGCCAAATAGCTCTTGTAGTCGCATACTCTTAGAATAAAGGCATACGACTGCATCCATCATTGTGATGCCAAGAGAACTGAAATTCGAAATACTGTTAGACATCTGGGACGATTAACTTGTTCAACGGCCAACTTGTTGTTAGAATTCACTAGAGTGAGCTCGCTTTCATTGAGATGCTTATTCCAGGTATCCAAATCAATCGGAAAAATAAGTATAATGATGTAACCGCTCGGCCGCAACACCCCTCAGGCATCTAGCTGCCACGCCACCTGAAGGAAGCAAGGGATATTGCCAGCTACCTAAGCTGTAGAGTAGGATAGTTACACCAAATGCACTTGTTTCTATCGAGCACAGTCGTAACTGGACGAGATAAGTTGCCAAATAGCTCTTGTAGTCGCATACTCTTAGAATAAAGGCATACGACTGCATCCATCATTGTGATGCCAAGAGAACTGAAATTCGAAATACTGTTAGACATCTGGGACGATTAACTTGTTCAACGGCCAACTTGTTGTTAGAATTCACTAGAGTGAGCTCGCTTTCATTGAGATGCTTATTCCAGGTATCCAAATCAATCGGAAAAATAAGTATAATGATGTAACCGCTCGGCCGCAACACCCCTCAGGCATCTAGCTGCCACGCCACCTGAAGGAAGCAAGGGATATTGCCAGGCTACCTAAGCCTAGACAAGATCAGTCGACATGTAGTTCGCGGGTTCGAACCAACCTCTGAATCTCGACTGCTGCTGTCTAGGCTTGAGAAAATCGGAAACGTCATTGGCGAAAAAGTACATGGCTAATATCAGCTAAAACTGCGCAACAACGGTGTGTGCGGAGCCCTAGACATATCAACTCGAAGAACACTGACCATGACAACGAACCTCTTGATTACAGAGTAGGTTTTTAAAGATGTAAGTTCGGTGGCATGTAGGTAAATGCATGATCAACGTGGAAAGCCATTTCGGGTAATATTCATCTGTTGAGTTCATCGAGGACCAACGGGTGAAAGGAACTACATTGCGTGACTGATAGTGGGTAAGTTTAGTAAAAGTACAGTGATGAAAGAGTAATATCTGAGCATCAGTATCACTGCCAATACCTATAATCTAAACGAAAGGCTGCAACAAAAAAACGACGGTCCGAAGAAAATGAGAGCCGATTTACCAATAAAAACGGCGATTTAGTGTAAATTAAAGTAGTGTGGCCAAACTAACACCACAAAATAATCCCACTTTGTCATGGTTAATTTTATTAGTGCTACACACCTTAATCTTCCATCACCTCTTGGCTAAAAATTGTGTCGAGCAGTCAGCTGATATCCTCAAACGTTAGAGTAAATGGAGCGTTTACTGGATGCGGGAAACTGGATCCGGAGAATAAACTTCTTAGCCAATTTTCATACCAATAAACGCAAATCCGTTTGCAGCAGAGAGAAACAGAGAGATGCCAATGTCAGGGTAATGGCGCTCATCCATGCTTCACTTTCAAAAAGATACAAATTTTGAGAGGAACTCATTCGTGTACATCGTTGCACCGAACGTCCCACCAAACTGTTATGCATAATTATCCACACTTCAATGCATCATATGATCGAACAGAAATATACTCACGCTCTCGGTAAACACAGATTGAAGGAATATTTTTCGCCACCCATTGACGGTACGTCCCAAAGACGGGATTCGCAGCCCGAGCAGGTTTGAAATCAGATCTGTGATTGGTCCAGGCTGATTCGTATGAAACAGGATGGCTAGAAGTAACAACGTTTCGGCATATGGTCGGTTATTCGGTGTGTTTAAAAGGATGGAGCGTTGCTCATCGGAAAGTCCGGCAGGTGGCACATGAGTTTGTCGATTGATCAAGCCTTGTAGCCAAACCACGATCTGACTCTCTATGTCCGATGACGAACCATTTCGAACAATGATATCTTGAGGTCTGAAAGAGTCAATGGACAATAAATTCCACAATGCTGCCGTAAAGGTGTAAAAGTGGTAGGATTTTGATTGACACGTTGATTGTCCAAGTTCCACAGAGTGAAGCCTTGTGGTCAAGCTTGTGGTGAGAGACGAATGCGTGTTGTAAACTTCTGAATTCTATGATCCATGACACTGTCTGACCAGTATAATAGATGCATCCGCAACTAGTTTCATAGTCTTCAACCAACCAGACACCTTAGCTAAATATCACCGTTTTAACGGAGAAAACGAAAGTCTGTGAACGTTCCCCTCTGACAACTTCTAATCATGGAAATACGGTCGTAAGCCAGATGACAAGGCTATGCAAAATCACGTTTCACTTAATGCAAAACAATGAAACTAACCAAGAGAATGGTAACTGCTATAAGGTAATTTCAAGGCCTTCATTTGACTATTTCCCGTAGAGCTATCGCGTAATCTGTCACAGAAGTCCACTGGCAGATAACTTTGAATCAATTTACTGTTGAGTAAAACATTGGCAAATCAGGTTGGACAGTTGATTGATGGTTTGTTCGCTGTGCTGGGCACTTTGCTAACAGAAGTCTCACCACCAATCGAGGTGACATCATTAATAAGTCGCAGTGTATCATGGTGGAATTTTGTGTCAATGGTTGGTTTACCGGTACGGGTATCCATTAGGACTTAGAGCATCAATCAGAGCCTCTACTGCCAAAATATGCCGTGGACTAACCGGTATCGCTTTACGTTCTGGCATACCCGTCAGGTTACACGACCAGCAAACACTATTTGTCAAAAAAGCAAGTGGGCTTTTTGCTATCGGTGTGCGTACGAAAGTGGGCAAAATCGTACGAAGATTCAAACATGAATCAGGCCGTTCACCTTGGTTGGAACGTTGTCAGGATCGTACCTTTGAACTATGGAGCTTCACACATCTTGATCGTGCGCATTTCCGCATTTTGTCGTTAACGACAAAAATGACATCGCACAGATACGGTATGGAGCAACATGCAGCCATTTATGTTGGCAAGCTAAAAAGTTGTGTTAATGTTAATACTGGAATGAGCCGATGGGGGTTATGTACACTAGATATCTACCTGCAATAGAGAGTGTATTCACCGATGGGCCATTTCCCATGCTCACAGAAGGCAACCTAGCAACATCAGACCTTCAAAACGCAAGTTTCAGAACACGTGTTTGATTAGGGTATTCAGGCCCCAACTATACAATATAGCAGCGAGGCTAACCAAATTATCTGGATATCCGGGCCAGGCTAGAACCATTAATCAAGTGATTAAAGGAACTGGTTTAGAGGCATTTTAGTGCATTGCGTATTGTATCGTAACCGTTAAATGTCCTAAATAGGAAAGCTCAACTAGGCGGCACGACGTGAAATAGCACCTTAGTTCGAGTCGGAAAGACTGATCGAAGCCTATGATGGACATACTTTGTTGTGCCCCAAACCCCCGTACAGTGTGACAGGGTATTCAGGAGGACAACAAATTAAATTAGACGACCACATGTATGTTTAGAACCGCATCGAAAAGCGCAACACGTTTTTAGGTGCGTGGTTTGAAAACGTTTGAAGTGGACAGAAACTTTACGCTGGAAATAAGTACTGAGAAACAGTTCATTGACAAGCAGTAGCCAAATAATAGGTTTTTTCTCCCACGCTCCTTTTCAGTGAATGTGGTTAGGATTTTCCAAGATTAAGGGGGTCCGTTCCTTCTGACTGTCGCCATAAGTGTCTGGATGCAAATGTGTTCTCGTTGTTCATTTCGTATGAAGTTAACCCAAATAGAGTGCAATGCGGTAACGAGAACGGTCAGTTCTGTGTGAGAAGATCTGGAGATCCTATTCATTTCCAGTCGACTAACCTGTCCCAGCCACTGCACCGCGCCGTTCTTCAAGTCGAGTCTTACACCGAATCCATACACTTCGTGCACCTTTTATGCCTTTGTTGTCATACGTATCGGATGTGGAAAGTGCCCAAATATAGGACAACATATTGGCCCATGGCCAACACTTGAACGTCGCACGAAACGAAGACAAAACCATCGCATTTAAAACGTTTCCGTTTTACGAAATTTAAGCACCATTTTTTTTCGGAAATCGCACTGGCCTCGGTGACACAAGACTCAGGTTTACGAGCGACCATCAAATCAGTAAACAGAGGAGGTCTACGTAAGAGTCTGGAAAATCGTCCACGTCCATAAGCGCGCGCACACACACACATCCGTTCTATCCAAACTAGGATAGACAACAAAAAACTGAGCAAAAGGTGAAAGGGAGTTTTTGTAAGCGGAAACAAGGGAGACAAGTCTGTTTGATTTGGAACGCACCCATACTGAGATCGAGTGTTCCGCTGGAGCTGCATTGCCTTGGAAACACGTCGTCGAAGGGGGCGTAAGAGTACACCAGTTTAGTTTGTCATGCGAAGAAAAAAACCATGCTCGAAACTCAAGAGGGTGAGCAAAAAACTCCATTTTAAGTGCGAGGACATACAAAAGAAGTCATACTTTGAGAGAGACCATAACTCGATAGGGACTAACTCGTGGTTGTCTCGAAGAGTATTTCAATAATAAACCTCTTTACAGCAGAAACCACATCAGAGACCGTTTTGGGCCGCTCTATTAGGTTGGAGACTATAGACAGGAAGAATTATGATTTCAATACTGTAATGAAATAGATTACGGAAGACTCAACGAGGTAGTTGACAAAAGCTAATGCGTACGGGGGGGGGGGGGTGATCAGACACCCCGATGTGGGAAAAAAGAGGCTCAATAAACAGATAGCAACTGTCATGTAGAATCGTCAGTCGATCGCCAAGAAAAACTTACACCTGGAGACTGGAACGCAAGCCAATCAAAAATGCCAGGGAATACGTGATATATTGAGATCCACGTTCGGAGTCGACAGTCTTGTGGGTTAGTAAGGTTAACAATTGCAAAGACAACGTAGGTGGAAAGCTGGAATAGAACAAAGAACGTAAAAGCATCTGAAAGAGGGTAGAGTGCGACCGGTGTTAATAGCTCGGAATGAAGCAGAAAAATGGAACAAATATGAATGCTACTAATTAAGCTATAGGCAGTCAAGATATTTTCATTGAAACAAGAAAGTTAAGTAACCATATAGTTTACCACCACCGTACAGCATTGCGTTTGGTTGGCACAAGAACATTGAAGGCTTTCCTTGCCATGATGATGCCAGATTACAGTGAATGGTCTGACGAAATTACGCCGACCAGTAAATGTGTGGTTCCAGGTGTCCAGCAGCACATTGTTTTTTAACTGTATCTACTGAAGAATTTGTAGGTCAAAAAGCAAATCACCAAGAACAGCTTGGGTGCGTACTGCCATGTGGACGGCTTCCTTGTCATACCTGACAGTCACACTGATGGTGGACATCGAGGATGGAAGGTCATAACAGTTCGACGAGGCGCAGTATTCCAAGCGAATTGCTGGCGTCAGAACAAGTGTGCCGAGTACCATGAAGCAGCAGGTTCAAAGAGTGCGTATTGATAGGATGATAAGCTGTCCCCCACCCATTGATCGAAAATAGCGCTGATCGGCATCAGATTTCAACAATAGGCTAGTAGATGGCCCCTACAGATGATAGGTGGCATACGCTGACACCCAGGGAAACGCAATCGCCAAACATGTAGGAGGCTTATATGGGAAGCCACTCTCAGCAATGGAGTTGGGATACATGTCTCCCATTTATCGAACAAATATGAATAAATGTATCACAATGAAACGTCGCCAATTTCTTTTAAAGTTTACAGGCACTACTTATCTGCTGATTGAGCTAGTTCTTAGGCACATTCCTAGAACTGATGCATCTCCAACGGTTCTACGATTCTTAGTATCCCACAAGCACTATCGGTGAGGGAATGTTGCAAATGACACGAACCAGCAACTGTTTACCCCTAGAATGAGTCACTCATGCCTGTTGTCAGAAGAAATAATGAATCGTATCAAGTGACCTTCTCAGTTGACTCTGTCGCTGTATGCAATCGCTGCACTGTCATCACCGATAACACGAAAAATGACCCCGTCAGTCACAAGGCTAATCAACTGTCCAGTATAAATGTCACAATTATATTTTCCTGGTTTCACTTTCCCAGTATGGATCCCAATGAACTCAATTCTGGGAGAGAAGTAAGGTGAATGCGTGAACAACAATCTGACCAGTAACCCGGCCTGATGCATGAGTGAACCTCACTCTCCCCAACGAAAATCCTTAAGAACAGGTAACAACTGTTGTTCGAGCAGCCCTAAACCTACCCTGTTCCAATAACTCTGGCCATTCTACCGTCTGGAATTTTACCTTTATTAGAGTTCATACGCGATGCACATCCTAGTGCATACCGAGGTTTTCGCGCCTGACTTCCGACATTCAATGCGAGCATATTACTGCTACTAACTTCGTGCGCGCTAGTTTAACTGAATAATCATGTATGGAAAAGCGCACTTGTTCGCCTTTTGGCACGTGATTGATTAACCCAGAACCTCGGGATCCAATAAACAAACTCGATCCGATCAGCGGGGTAATTCAGAGCAGTTGACTACTAGAGCACCGTTGGATTAGATTACCTTTGGTTAAAACATATTAGATGAGCGGTCCTGATAAATGGGTCGTCCGACCGGATTGTTGAAATCGATTTTCCGACTCCAAATGCCATCTCAGATGAGGTTTCGTACATCCCGGCTCAGATACTGCCTAGTTCGAAGTGACAGATCTAAGTAACGACCCATTCAATCGAAGCCATAGTAATGCATATCTATCCTTTTTAGTCATCGGAGAAAAGTATTAAGGGTCGTACTGAAATTTCCTGAAAGGCAATGGAGCAACATACTTGACACTGTGGAAAATGTTGGTAACACAGGCTACAACACGTGTTCTGTTCGATATATGTCCGATATATGGCTGCGACCGGGCTAAAGAAACATGAACTCACATGTAATTGACAAATCCTCGCATCGCTGCCAATACTCGGAGCAAGAGGAGCGCTTTCAGGATGGCATCGTTCGTCAAAGGTATAGATGGATCGCTGGGGATGAGGGAGGCACTACTTTTGATGAAATATTGGCTGAACTTCTCTAATTGGCCATCAGCACCCTGGAAAGTAACAGCATTGCTTGTAAAGCTGTGTCGGCGAAGTTCTCATCAGTGTATCAATGTGACGAAATAGTTCGCGTTACAACTCTTCCGTTCACAAACGGAAATTGCATTAGGAGGAAATAGCTATTTACTGGCGAAGAAAGACCAGCTGAAACTGGGTCCTGTCCGTCCTTGTATGATTTTCACGCCTGTTTACTGAGTAACTCCATGCCCAACTGATGGAACGTAAGCAGTCAGCCAGGGTATTAAACGCATTAGTTGCAATTATTCGGTTCGCGTCTTTACCCTTCCAAACTATTTCAACGGCAACTACATTCGAACGGGTGAGTGGGATTTTAGGCCGATAAGTGGATCGAACATGTTCGAACCTACTGGGCGCATGACTGATTATCTGCTTTACTCTTAACGATCCGGACAATACCCAGAGTCGCTCTTCACAATGTGCGGGCTTGTAAACAAAAACCCAGTCGCCGGTTTACCTGGTAGTGTGTGGATGGCACGCTGGTTGTCATTAAACGAGACGCTACCAACGAATTTTTCATACACCTAAATAAATCACATGCACACAGTCAGATTCTCAGGAAAAGAGAAGTCATTGATAAAACTCATCATTCTAACCCGTCTGACATCTCAGACTAGAAACGGTATGGAAGGGAAATTTAGTGAAGCAGATAGCCGTCTTACATCCTTGAATGAATAGCCTTCACCGAAAAAACGGTGGATGGTAGCCTCTTAAAGAAAAAAAAACTACGCCAGCTAGTTTCAATGAGAAAATAAAGCGAATAAAGCAAGCTACCTCACTTCTAGAGCTACGGCAACAGATAAATTTAGAAAGATAACCACATCATTCAACTCAGAACTCAAGTAACAGTGTACGACGGCGACTTCACCCAACAGAAGAAGGTATACATCCAATTTGAAAAAATTCTGTTTGTATATAAGACTCCTGATCGCTACAGACCAATGACACTGGAACTCGCAATGTCAGCCAATCGTCACATCAATTCGAGGCGTGAGCCAGGGAATGGCTGGAAAAAATAACGATTCCATTTTTGTTGTTCATGCACTTTAGGCTTGTCATCAGATGGAGTTCAACCAGCCCACAATATTGAAGTGTGGCTACCGGAGGTTGGAAAGGAAACCAGCTAACCGCAGCCCCATTAATCAACAAAACAAGGATCACCATGATGGATCAAACATCACATATAATGAAAAGCAACACAACACAGCCCTTTGCAATTGACTGCTCCTATCTTTCTCTAGCAGAGCTTTCATGAAATTGATATTCCAAACACTCTCCATACTTCTACACGCACATTCACGCATCCCAAACAACCAACCTCTGAGTCTCAAACTTTCAAGTTCGCTCTTTTATACAACTTTACTCATCCCTATCCTTCAAACCGGCTTTTTCTATAAATGACCTAGATTTGCTCTACGTTGGACAAAATAGATAGAACACTACTCGCACGGGAAAGTTTATTTGAGCAATTTGGAACCCTGCAAACCAAGCGACTTTGGTTTTGTTTGAGCACTTGGATGCAAGTACCCATTTCGAGTGATCAAAGCGAGGATCTTGAGTTCGTATGATAAACGTGTGGAATGTTAGAATTTCACCCAGTCGCTAAATCCATTACATCTGTCAGACCGTGCAAACGACTCCATAAAACAGAATCCGTGGTACTCGTCAAAATTTCCAACTAGCACTGTACGATATGGTTTGGAGGGGTTGTTGTATTGCAAACACGAAGACTTTAAGCAGGAGATCAATAGTAAGCGTCGTCTGACTGCACTCGTCATTTGGTTCCGGATGTATCATACCGACAGTCGTTCCAAGCGTTTTTCAACTGACTGGGCAGTTGTTTCTGCCGTGTACCTACGGCCATTAGTGTTTTTTGCTTAAATTTGTTTTGCCTACTTATGAGTAGTTTGCCAAATGCCATCCTACCCACGCATCTACACTCCGTTGAAGGTCGGCATCCGCTACTGTACGTTGGGCTCGATTTATGACGTTTTCTCCTAAATCTGCCTAAGTAGTGCGAAAATTAGGTGGGGGTAACGTCTAATTCCTCGACACTGAGTTCAACAGCCGAATCATCACGTGATTGGGGAAGACATCCTTGATTGGAACATTACGTGTGATTGGTAACAGTTGAACTGCGTTAACAAGACGACGCTAATATGGGTACCAAATAACTATGGGGCAAACTAATGAATCAAAACGAAGACCGGCTGGCAATAAATCTGGCACCCCTTTTCTATACACCGATATGCGTGCGAGTTTTTGACGTTTTATGAGATACTCTGTCTGATTCGTAGGTTACTGCTTCATTGCATTAGTGTACTCGATAGAATAGTATATTTCATCACAAGATCGTCTTTTTTAGATTTCGCACTGCCAGTGCCAAACTCGTTTGATGGCTGGAATCGCTTAAAATGAGAAGTGCTCCATCCGAACGGACAATATTGGCCAGAAATGTTTGCCAATAGGCTTCGCTTCGAGAAAACAAACTTTTCAAAATTGAACACATCTGTTCAGAATTTGAAATCACGATTTACCAGGATAAATCGATCTAATGAACGATCAAAGATGAGTTTCGTTCATTCACTGTTGCATAGAGACTTTAATTATAGCTGCTGTTGTTACGGCTGTGAGAAACTGCTTTGTCCCCACAGACAATGTGCACGCTGTTGTGGATTACTTTGTCACTACATAGTTCAGTGTATGATAATCACAAATCTCTAATGAAATGGGCGGTGAGGTTTCGGTTTACCGTACGAGAGGAATCTCAATGAAAACAATGAAGAGCACAGTTTGTCGTAATATCTCTCTCCCACCGTCACAGTCCGGACAACTCTGAATGATAACTGAATTAAACCCCTGAACTTCCGGCCTTCGCAGTCAAGTGTACTGTTCCCCTTCCCATTAACACTGATCGGCATCAAGCGTGCTGGAAGTATTATTAGCATAGCAAGGTGGATTACAAAAAAATCAGCAGTCGACTATTAATTTAGCTTCCCTGTACTCGATGGTTACATTCACTGGTGGCAATTAGTAAAGCACAAACGGTCTCATCAAAGCGTCTGATCACAAAGACGCTCAAAACTTAGGGACCTAAATGGCAACATAGTATAGTGAAACAAGAGTTACTTGGAGGAGTCCAAACTCCACCAGAAATTAACACATACAACATACCATTTGCCGTTTCAAATAACCACTGATCCAGCTCCGGGTTCTCGTACCGCTATCCAACAACATTCGCTTCAGATAAATGAGCAGTGAGTTGTCGTCAATTTTGTCGAGGAAGAAGAGGGCATCGACAACCAAACCAGGAAAACAGTGGATCGAAAGCTGAACATGGAGTCGGATGGAAGGTAGGAAAATGCATAAAGTGGGCCATGAAATATGTGAGTTGTACGAGGAGCACTAATTGGTATCCTGTCTTCAATAGAAAACGAACGAACAATCGACTAGATTTTTTTTTAGTCAAATATGTGGTAATGGCTTCGGGGAACAATACCAGTGGGTTGGAAGATGGTGCCGAAATAAACACGAACATACGAAAATGACAACGGCGTCGGTAGGATGCCGTAGATTCAATGTTAAAGCTGCTGAACTGTTACACAAAGACAATGGCAACGAGGCTACCACGAAGGTATGGCATAATTCAGAATAATGCGAGAGGAGAGGCTATGAACCTATATGGGGTTCAAATTGTAGTATCATCCGGGGTAAGAATGGGGTGGTAGTAGCAGTTTCCCCGATTAAACCAGCATTTCCATACATTGAAAAACAGTAATGTGGTGTTCCCCAAGGGAAATGGACAAGAAAAGTTCGGCCATTACCGCTCCACATACTGATCATCCGGTCGACCGAAACTGAAGAGAGAACCTCTCAGCTGTAACACCCTTTCGGTGCCTAACGGCCATGCATCCCAAAGGAAGCGCAAGGGCTGGCATACTACCAGGTTGCCCAAGCCTAGACAGGGGAAGTCGAGAGGCAGTGGTCGGGTTCAAACCACGGACCTTCCGGTCAGTGAATTCGGTCGACCAGGACCGCATGCGAGTATCTGCTACGGTGGAAGTGCCCGACACAAAGAAAATCCGTCGTCACAGAAAGTGCTTTGTAGCTCTGTCCGTTCTAACGAAGTCACCCCCTGTTCATTTTATCAAAGGATAGAGACAAACACATACCGCCAAAGTAAAGTCGTGGATGTTCTTCAAAACACAATCCCCACGAGCAAATTTTCATTATAAACTTTGCCTACTCATTTAACAATAAAGTAGCGGCACTGGGACCAACACACTGGAGACTACGGAATCTCGGGTCTGAATAGAACTGGATAAAAACTTCGCTCACAGATAAGAAGGTTGTCCAAAGGAAATATCTGAACATATGCAGTAACACTTACGCAACGTTCGATTACCATTCTGGTGTAATTTGGACAGACTAACAGCAGAGACCGGATCGTGCCTTCGATTCGGTGGAACAACAGATTGCGGTCAAGTTCGGTGCTCAATGAGAAGATGAATCCAGGTTCGTCGGATGAACTCGACGTTCCAAAGGAGTGTAAGATTTCCGGGACTATGAAGAATTGCAAGTCCGAGGTATGACTACATAAACAAAACAAACCTGTGACGCCGAGTGACAGCTGTTCACTCAACTGAATTAGCCAATTCCATACTGTAAGCCACTCAAACGGAATATTGCGGAAAAGTCGTTTCAGCAGGTGGAAATTCGTGCGATTTGCATGGGAAATGTAGCCACATACAAAGGCAGGTAGAATAGGAAAGTCTGGTATGCCTGGGAAGAAGCTTCGAAGATTTGACAGGGAAACATACCGTATACAGTGCTGCACATAAAAGCAATCAACTCAGATTCAAACGGTTCCAACTGCAGAAGATCTACACAAGGCTGGGAAAAGCAGGACTGCGAAGCGTGCTGTTTTAGTTCCTGTATAGGCCGAGTGAAAAAACAGTCTCACCGTATAGAGTAAGTGATACAACATTCGAAAGAATAGCTTCGCTTTTCCGGCAACATTTTGTGCTTCGTATTCCATAGTTGAAACATTAACCCCACTGCTGGAATTAAGCTTTGATCAAGGGGCAGAGATGCAGCAGCATACCATGATGACTCTTCACTTTTTACAGATGACCACAGACCGAGTAGATTTAGTTGGCGGAGTTGGGTAAGGAAATGCAAGTTTTCTCTTAGCATATAAGCAACGTCGTACGACAAACTGACATTGAGCAAATCGTCCTCAAGGTCAACTTTTGAGAAATATAACAGCGGCAGTAAATCCAGTATATCCGAAGGATCAGTGCACCGCAGATTGCCTGTTAGTGAGCTCATCGGATAAGGTTGATAAATGGTGTTCAAGAGTGGAAACTGCAATCCGCTAGGAGAGTAAGCATTGAATATCCCGTAAAGACATCAAGAAATCACATGCAGTAGACATTACACATCTTCTGTGTGTTGATTTTCGATTCTCCCAACGGAACTGTATGATGGCGAGACAATCAGTTGTTGTTTTATCTTTGTTTATATCGAAAGGGAGCTGTCTCCTAAAAACCAAGCTTCCCCCGTACATGACGACCGGCATTAGATTGTGACGACCAAATAAGCCATGAACCTCTTCGTCCACGTACAACGTCCCTGGCCAAAATTCGCCGGCCCTATCAACGACGCCACATCTGTCGATTGCTCAACTGTTTTTAATCTGGAAAACATTCATAGCTGACTTTCGAGTAAACTACCGATGCCGAGATCACCCCTTTGTAAAAATGGTGATTCAATCAATTTAATTTATCAGCTATAAACCATATGCACATTGATTCCATCTGCTACAGTTTCGATCACCAGAAGACCTTCGCCTTGGAGGCGAAGGCACGTCCAGTTTGTTCAGAAATTGGGTAGCTACGCATTGAAGGCGATAGATCTGATGCAAGAGCGAACCTGCTTGTGTGGTTAGGCAATTTTCGCCGTTATTAACCATTGGTGATTTGATTCCCTTGGTTCCCGTCCGGGGAGGCGGCAGTAGCCTACCCGTCTAAGTTCACTGGTTAGTGTTTTCGTACTTCGTTGCTAGGTCATACACTGCTCACCCCTCAGTCGCTTCCACTCAGCAGAGAGCTAGGCGAAAGGGAGCTCCGTGAGACAGATGGTCTTCTGACATGCGTGTCCTAGCCAGCGCAACCTATGAAAGGTGAGTGATTCATCTATCGCAGGAGGGTTCATTCTTCATAAGACAATCTGGCGTACCTCAGCGTTACTAATCCTGTTAGGAGGACTACCTCCAAACGAACAAATCCATGTTACTAACGATTCGTCTTGTATACTGAAACCTTGTTTCAACATTTCAGCCTCGCTGACTTCCTACTGAACTGTTAGCTCTTTTTATATTCTGGTCCAGTTGAATTCCATATCACGGAACGATCCACTTGTTTGCAGTATAACTACATCGAAGTTGTTTGTCTTCTCCATTCCGGTGATCTAACCTGTCTGACTGATATATTACTAAAGAGGGTATAACAAATCCGATGTTCCCACCAGACCTGACCAATGCCGCACAGACACCGATGATCAAACACTGACACTTTCCGTATATCCTCTGCGCATAGGGGCCACGCCTCCACAAAGCAGTATGGGTCGCACCACTGCAGTGTAAACTCTTCCCTTGATAGACAAGCTTACATCACATCGGGGCCGAAGGTGTCGGAAGTTGGCAAAAGCTGCTCTGGCCTTTTGCTATTCGAGAAGTGATTTCATCTCCAGCCAGTCCACAGCTGTCCAGGTAAACAAATTTATCTACCATGTCGACTGGCTCACCTGCAATCATGAGGTGTGGGTTTGATCCCACCAAGTCTTGTAGCAGCACTTTACACTTTGCATGTGTGAAGCGCATGCCAAACTGTGTGGCAGAGTTATTTAGGTTATTTAAAGTGGTTTGCATTTGGGAAGGATTCACGGATAGCAATATCGTCTGCATACTCAATGTCTGTAAGGGAACGTCTCGGGAGCATTTCGATTCCCGAGGTTTCAGGGGCAGTCTGGGAAATTTCAAGCAGCATTTCAACAACAAATTTAAAGGTGGAAGAGGAAAGACCATAGACTTGTCTTACATCGCTGGGCGTGGTGAACTCAGGCGAGAGGTTCCGGTACACTCGTATGTACCCACAGGAGTTCGCACACAGTACCCTCAAAAGGGAGAGAAATTTGGAAGATACACCTTTGATCTCTAGACACTGCCAAAGTTGCTGACGATCGGCAGAATCAAAAGCAGCCTTCAAATCCAGAAAAAGTACCAACGTGAGACGTCTAAAGGTGTAGCGCTGTTCGACAATTTTTCTCAAGGTAAAGATACAGCCGACGCATCCTCGACCAGGACGAAACCCGAATTGATTCTCACGAATGTCGCTCCCGACAGACCATTAGTCTGCGCACAATAATGCCAGAGAGCAATTTAGATGTAACCGATACCAGGCTGATACCACGATGGTTTTCACATGACGTTCTTGCTCCTTTTTGAAAACTGGGATGACTTTCGAGGAACATCATTCGGCTGGTATTCTGTTTTCGTTCCGAATTTTCCGCAGTATGGTTGTCAGATTGTTCACCAGGTCCTCCCCACCTTCTTTGAAGAGCGCTGGGTGTGGACAATCTGGACCAGGTGTCTTGTCGAGCTTCAGGATGGAAATCTCACGCCAGATTTCGGTTGCTGATGGTGGGTTGACGTCAATGTCCCATTCGGGCAGGCTTGGTTCTTCCGGCGGCTCTGTTGAAAGAGACCAGGTGAACTGTTCTTTGAAGTGCTCTGCCCACCGCTCGAGACGGCCAGTGAGGGAGTGAATTACTGTTCCATCTTTTTCGAATATTGTCTTATTGATACCAGCCTTCTTTTGACCCATTGATCGGATCTGTTGAAACAGGGCGCGGCTGTCGCCTGCAGCAAAAGCCTTCATCTCATGGGCCTTCGAAATCCACCAGCGTTCTCTGTTTTTCTTTAAGCTTCTGATTATCCGGTCCGCGTGCGCCACCATAGTCACTAGTTGCTGGTATGGCCTTTCTGGCAGCAATATGGTCTGCTGATCTTGAAGACATCCAGTTTTCATTGAATCGAATCAGATGGGTTGGACAAACAGTTCTAAAAGCTGAGGGCATTGATTCTTTAATTCACCTACATTAAGCCTCCAAACAATCTTTGCCGTCTACAAGACTGTGAGTTTCTCGTAGCTTTATAGCCAGATCAGCTCGATACTCTTCAGCTACTGAAACTTGTCGAAGGTGATGAACGGAGCTGTTCTTCTCCGGCACGCGTAGTACTGGCCGAAAGCGAAGTGCACGATGGCATGATCAGAGTCAAGTTGCGTATTCCACAAGGAACAATCCTTAACTAAGGTTCTCCATCGGCAACAGATTGCCATATGGTCCAATTGACTCCAAGACTGTCTTGTGGTGGGTGGCCTCCAGGTAACTCGGTGTGTGCGTCTGTGTTGGAAGTTCGTACTGGACAGGGACGGATGATGATCTGCACACAACTGAAGCCACTCTCCATGATCCGTGCGCTCAGGATTGACTCCAAATCGACTGGACTTAGTCCAATTTGGGCATTCATATCACCCGCAAGGATTACTATATACATCCTTCTTGCCGACTGAATAAGTCGTGACAGATCTTGATTAAACTCGTCCTTCTCAGTCTTAGAACTGTTATCTGATGGGGCGTATGCTGATACGACAAACAAACACCTTTTACCACATCGACGTGCGTTAATCTTAATGGAGCCAGACAACCGCATAGCGCAAAGCCGACTGTTTACTGGGATCTGGTCCAGTTAGGCACTTTCAGCCTTGGGGACGAGTGCAAAGTCCATACCGGAGATAACATGAGTCATTGTGTCGGGATCATCGGATGCCCGGAGAGTGAAATGTGGTACATCTGGGCTCGTCCCAAGCGGCTTGAGGAGAATGACCGAAGTGGGGTTTTGTCTGCGCGTCCGGAGGCCAGCCGTCCCTAATAACCGAACATCACATCATTTGGACGGATGTGTCACGTACAGGACACGGACCCTGATTAATCAGAATGCCAGCCAATCCGGATCGAGCAGCTTCGACTCAATGCTTCTCGCCCCCTCACGGAGATTCTAGCCCGACCACGTACCATCCATGTGCGGCCAGTAGCCACTTCCTTTCATTCGGTTAATCCCTGGATGCCCCTGGATGGCCCGAAGAAGTAAGGGACGGGACACCACAACACACCCCAAATGTGATTCAGTCACCAACGATAAGGGATTCCGACATCGGGAAAAAGGTTGGAGGTCGTCATCCAGTGATTTTGTCATCCATGTCCTGAGGAAATGAATCACATGTCGCAGTGTTGGATCACCTGAAGTTTTGCGCTGGATAAGTGGCACTGTGACTGGTAAGGTATGGAGGGTTTGAAGCAGATTCTGGTTGGCGTGTTCATCAATGTGCCGGGTAGGTATGACGGGGTCCTCTTCCAGGACAGCATGATTGCGGATAAGAAGCGAGAGTGCATCCGCTTGGTGAAAATTTTCTGTGCTGATAGCGAGCGTTCCTCCTACATGACTGGAAGGATGTATCGGTTAAACACTTCGGAAAATCTGTATTATTCCCCGGAATGGAATCATACGGGCTCCAGGAATATCCAAATTGAAGCCAGCAGTCCCACTAGAAAAGATCGTATTTCGTAATAGCTAAATATTGCTACAATTTGGCGAAGATCTCAAACACCGAGTACCTCACTAGGTTATTTTGCCTGCATCCTGTTGCCTCTGGTAAACACACAACGAACCCTGCTGAACAAAAATAAAGACTTTATATCAAGTTGTTCGGATAAGAAACGATGGGTGAAGCACTCGAGTAGACTTCTAAACCACCTAGTTCTTTAGGCGGGAAACCTAAGAACATCGGTATCGGGGCCTTAAAGCACTAACTGGGAAACACCCAGTCTAGCGGAGACAGGTTCGGTTGCCAATCTCTCAAAAAGTGGAAAAACCCTAGGAGATAATGACACTCCACGGAGGCATATACCCATTGCCTATCAGTAACTCTTCCACCTCCACAGACTTTACTCGGAGTCTGTTCACCGAATGAAGCATCTTGAGTCCACTTCCAAACCCCAGGATGACAAAATAAGGTGCAAACATTATCGTGGAAATCAGCCCCATAGATACCGTTGCTGGGATTTATATTCTGTACTTCTCGAAAGATTTTTTGAAGTGCGAGATGTTCGAATACGACTCAAAAAAGGTAGCTGCTGCTCCGGAAGAGTCTGCATGGACTAGACATCCATTCCACTTTTGGGGTGCCAGCAACAAACTATTACGTGCGTTATTGATATGCGTGCTGCGTTGGACAGCAACGAAGCACCAGTATTGAACAATGTTGTAAGGTTATCATGCAGATGGCGAGGATGATGCTTTCGATCTAATATACCAAGAAGTGCGACCACTCAGCTGTAACACCGGTTCATTAGCTGTCGCACCACCCGAAGAACGAACGAGGATACTGGCAGGCTGCTCGAGCCTAGACATGAGGTCAAGATGCAAAGGTCGGATTCGAACCACGAACCTTTCGGTTAGTAAACTGACTTCAGTGTCGTCTGCTGTTGATACTGGTTCACAGGATTTAGGGGACCCATGGCGATAGACTCTCGCATTATACGAGGGTGTCTCTACAACGTACGTTGTACGCTTACGTAAACGCCAATAACATGAGAGATTGCTTTTCACAGTCTTCACACTAGAGTCCAATTAATTCCGACTTTAACCCCCCCCCCACAAGGCAGATTTGTTGATATGCCCTGGAAGGTCTTACTAAGATCAAAGGGCGCGTAAGAGCGCGCGTTTTTCTTCGTTTTCAAAGCATAAGACCATTTCCAAGAGGCTCATAAACAAACTACCACGCTTATTTTTTCTCACCAAGCAAAAAGCAAGGACCATTAGTATTTCTTTACCGCCAACGTCGAAATGATTTCATTACATTCGTTACGCCAAGGGAGCCCAACACTCGTAGTTAGGCGCGGCAACGGCAATAAACCAACCTTACATGTGATTCGACAAAAGGTCAGTGTCAGGCGAGCGTTGATTGGTCAAAAAGTGTAAGCTTATCAGCGGGCCCTATACCGGTAACCGATGTATGACACGTGAGTGTATTCTCCAGGACTCTAAATATCTAGACTGTGCCATTACACGCCATTTGTATAAGATGGGCTCTATATATTGTGGGAGTTTATCACGCTGTGTGTATCCCTGTTAGAAAAACATCATTTTGGAGGGTCATACTGAGAAGTTAATTGAGGCATAGCCGTTAATCAAAAGTCAGTCGTAGGCCATGTGCACTATGCAACATGGGGTTCTCAAGGAGGTCCTTGGTCGACTCAGGAGCGGTCTGGATGCAGTGCACATGAATGAGCTCGGAATCATGGTAACGAAAATGGTTTGTGGTAATGATTTCCTCACCTTCGTCATTGCGACCTGGAATTTTGACTCGATACTTGCTTGCGTTATTTCGATTGCTGAAACGAGGAACTGTTGTCGCGCATATATTCATTGAGGAGCTCGTTATTAGAAAGTCCCCCTAAGATCCCGAAAGTGAGGTTATTCCTCTGACCTATTTGTATATATCCCGGCTGGTTAGGATCTTGCCGAATTCGTTTTTGTAGGACACGCATTTGTAACGCAAGACAGCGTTAGCGCTTTGATTACTGGACGCACAAATACCCGGCTGGTTAGGATCTTGCCGAATTCGTTTTTGTAGGACACGCATTTGTAACGCAAGACAGCGTTAGCGCTTTGATTACTGGATGAACGCACAAATACCACATAGTTATCCCCTATGTATTGATTTAAGAACTTCTGAAGTGACGTCAATGATGAAAAGGATGCAAGCCCGAATTTTTCGACAAACGTTTGTGAAGCCACTACCGAAGCCATGCCAGCGGTTCGAAGCACAATGCATTTTTCTGCAAAACACCTGCGGGTGAACTAAATACTTTAACGCCAAAATGTTGCACTTCTTTGCATATATGCTCACATTGAAAATCCCCCTCATCTGCCGTCATTTTTTGCGATTTGTTTTAATTGATCTCTTTTGAAAATTATTGTGCACGTTCGGCTTTTAACTTCGTATGGTATGGCTTCGTAAGTGGCTTTCGTTGAGAAATTTGTGGATGTATCGATTTCATCCTTCACGGCATTTGAGATCTTAAATGAATACATGAAGGATAACTTTGTGGTATTTGTGCGTTCATCCAGTAATCGGAGCACCAACGCTATTTTGCGTTACGAATGGGTGTATTACGCAGCAGGGGCCCTCCAAAACGGAATCCGAAGGAGCTATTAAGCTGAGCGTATTTTCTAATAAGAAAAGTACGCGAACCACCAGCTGTCCATTGCGGTTTTGTCTACGGAAGCAAAGGAACCAACTGGCAGTGACGTCTTATTTTATGGAACACAACCGCAAACTGTCAAAGTTTCCGTGCGATCGGCTTCCAGTCAATCGACGCCTAACCAAAGACGAGTTGGGCACATGCCAGGCCCTGCTGAGATATGGAACGCCGTCATATGAGGTGCGGCAGTTTGTGGCGGATGAATTCGGAAAAATTCTTACCACCAAGGTCATACACAACTACCGCCGGAAGTGTCGAGCGGCTATGTTGAGTAGGTGCCGCATGGTTGGGTTTTAATGCAGCCGATGATATGTCTTCGGTCCTGCAAAACTTCGGTAGACCAGACGCGTTCTTGCGTGTCGAGCAGAGGAAGGTAACAGTAGCCACATATGTTTCGCCCGATGGCAGCATATAGCGTTATTCCCACGCTTTCCATATGTAGTAACTGTTGACGGAACGTACGCAGCAAACCGCCTTGGGTAAGTTTTTTAAAACATCTAATATGCGGCATTTAGATATAAACTTTAGACATTCTTGATAACAGATTACATGGGAACCGGGCGTCCGGTTATGTATGCGTTCGTAGAGAGCGAGCAGTTTGCTCCCATGCGTAAACTGTTGGTCTTATTCAAAGAAATGATGGGCGATGCGTATCCGGTCAGGACCTTTGTAATGGACAAATTGGCGGCGCAGATGCGTGCAGCAATGGTCGTGTTCGGCTGTGACGTTATGCTTTGCTACTTTCATGTCCTCAAAGTCATCGGGAAGCACTATGTATCATTTAATATCCATGTATTTTTGGTCATAGGCGCATTCTGCGAACAACCGGCACATATTTCACCTCATGGCCCGCCTGGACAACGCTGTACAGTAGGTTTTATGTTCATTGTATTACACGCACAGAGATTCCGGCGAGATCTACAGCTTCTGCGCCGAACCGATCCCTAATTTCCCTCCTATCTTTCGGCTCGTTGGTTGTACATCACCCGAAAATGGGCCATACACGCACACTCCGGAGTGTGGCTCCGTCTGTGTGCTCTGTGACCGGCCTACTTCTACCAGTGACCACTGGTGTGCAACGGATCACGTGTCATATGACGCCGACTGTTGTGACGGTGAACCTTGCCCACTGTGTGTTGGTGCTCTTCAGGCTTGTCCCATAGGTGAGTCCACATGAAAAGAAATCACTTTTGGTTCTTAGCTCCGAGCCCATCCAGAAAACCCAGAGGTGTGCTTGCTACCCGGTCTTCCTGTGATGTTGACCTGGATCGAAGAACAGATTCCCAGCACAGTGTGTCCCGTAAGTCTGTCCGCATCCGTGTTTTCGGGTTCACAGAGGAACTACTCGACAGCCGTGAGTCAATGTCTGAAAACTACGACTAACTCTGTAGAGCGCCAGCTAGATGAAAGAGACGAAGTTGATTTCATGTGACCCATCGGCTTCTAAAAGTGGATCTGTTAATGAGGTCCTATGCATTACATGTAAGTCTCGTATCTCTTGAGAGGTGCAGTAAACAGGCATGCGAAATAGCCGCTGAAGATGGCATAGTGTGAACAGGCATCTACGACAGCATAGTCGCTGCGGTGAATTTTATGGGTAAGTATCTATACCAGCTTGTCGGCCGCCCGCATTATGGTGATTGTAACGGTCGAACGGTATCTTCGAGTGACACGTTATACCAGAACCTCCGGGTAGGCAAAACAATTTCGGAGCTGGGTTTCTATGCGGTACTATCAGGGTAGGAGTAATTCACAAATTATACAAACCTCGACAGTAGATACGCGTCCAAAACAAACAATCCGCTTGGACTACAAAAGTACAAAGCAAGGGAGCAGACAGGCTCCTACGTGCGACAGTCACACGTGCAGAGTCAGATACAAATGGTCGGATGACCTCAAGGCCAAATGGGTGAAATGGTAAGGACAGACAAGCGTCAGTTCATATATACGCACTAAACGCAAAAGTGGGGCGGGGGTTACAAATGGGAGAGAATAAACGTGGGGAATTTCATAGTCAACATAACGGATGATACACCCCCCGCCAAATCCTCCACGTTGATTCAGCGGGCGCCCCGGTTCTTGCCTTCTACCTACGCCCAGCTCCATTCTAATGTACCCCATCAGCCACCCACACGAATGGCCCGAGTCCACTCCTGCCACAAGTGCGGACTTCGATGGAGTACAAGCCTATTCGCGTCTCTCCAGTAAACACACCATCCTAATATCTCTATTAAGAACGCCGCCCGCCGTTCTAACAGGCAGGGTTCTTACTAAGTCATCTGGGCACACCTCGCAACTATC